ATGTTTGTCTGTCCGTCTTGTATGTCGGCTACCTCTCAGAGACTATAAAAGCTAGAGCCACCGAATTTGCCTACAGACGGCTGTTATGTATATCACACTGACACAAAAGTACTGACACTGACACAACCTTCCGCCTCCACAAAGGGCGATAATCTGCTGTATCCACAACTTTGAAGATAAGAGAAAACAAAAAACAGAATTCCGTTGGGAATGACTACATCTATCTAACTGATCATTGAATTGGGATTAGATTAATTAAATTCATATTCAGTGGCACCCATCCTGTCCAGCAGCTTTTTTTGTTCTTGTTTTTTGTGGCTCACGCAGTGTGCGTCACTGGGAGCCGTAGATGTAGATTTCATATTTAGGAAAAGTGTAAAATTCGACACAAACCTCTAAAACACAGATATACTGACAGTACTGGGCATAAAAGTTTTGAAGCGTACGAAGCGATTTTTTTTTGTGGAATTTAGTTCTCTGTTGTATTTTAGTTGCATATTTATATCCCTTCTGTACTTTATTTTAATATTTATTTGCCTTTTTTAATAATTTTTTAATTTTTATTTTTTAATTGAATTTTTAATAAAATGCATTTATAATTCAGGCGAAGGACGTCGTGGTTGCTTTAATCCCTACCGTGGCGAACTTGGCGATCGTGGTGACCGTGGATATCGCAGTGAACGTAAGGAACGTCGTCGTCGCAACAACGATGATGAGGATGACCTAAATAACAACAAGGGCGATGAAGACGGCGAAGATGGCGAGAAGAAGCGCGAGTTCTACATCCCTCCGGAACCATCCACCGATGAAGCTGAGATTTTCGGCACCACCATCTCTTCGGGAATCAACTTTTCGAAATATGATCATATTCCGGTGAAGGTAAGTTTCTCGCCACTTACAAGCAAGAGTAAAAGAAAATACTAAATGAAAATGATATTTTGTGCATAGGTAAGCGGAATTGACCCACCAGCTGCCATTCAAAAGTTTGAGGATGCAAAGTTGCTATAAGTTGGCCACGCCCATTCAAAAGGTTGCCATACCGGTGATTACTGCTGGCCGTGACCTAATGGCCTGTGCCCAGACTTTCAGTTGGATAATTAGTGGCTTCTTCTTCGTTTGTTACACAGTCGATAGATTTGATTTTGAATTATAAGATTGAGGTCATCTACATCTTTATTTTTAGCGGCCAAAATTGCTCTCACTTAACCATTTAGTATTTTTGTGGTTAGCAATGATATCCGGGAATACGTTGTTGATAAGCTCGTCTTTTGATGATACGAAATTGCCAAAATTTTGAGGAAATGAAATCAAACCGCTCGATTTGTCTACATGAACACGTCCATTACCGATAGTCAGCAATTGCTTCGAGAAATCATCAGCAGATAGATCGTTCAACACTGCAACTCTCATATTTACAGACTGTTGAAGTTTCTTTACATATCGCCACAGATTTGATGCTTTGAGGTAAGCCTTTATTTCGTCTGCAGCAGTAGATCTTGGAATGACTGGTAGTGTTTGTCGGAAATCGCCATATAATAAAATCATTGCACCACCAAAACATCTCGAGTCATTGCGCAGATCTTTTAATGCGCGTTTGTGCGCCATTGTGCATTCGTCCCGTATGATGATTTTTGATGCTACTAAAACTTTGGCCATTGCGGAGTTTTTCGAAATGTTACATGTCGGTTGTTCAGAAGTTTGAATGGTTTAATGGCAATTTTAACGCTGAGTGAGCCGTACGGCATCCGTCTAACAATGTGGCCGCTATTCCAGAAGAAGCAATTGCTACCGCAATTTCGGATCTCGCACGTACAGTGGCCAAAATCAATGACATGAGGAATGTCTTCCCAGTTCCACCGGAGGCATCCAAAAAATATAAGCCGCCATTTCCATCATCAATTGCATTAATCAGTGTATCATAGACTTTCCTCTGCTTAGGATTCAACAGAGGTACATTCGTTTGAACTGATTGGATTAGTTCATGTGGATTATATTCATGTTCACGTTCCAATTCTCTATTAAATGCGTCATTCATTCCGCGATCTGGAGCTGGCATTCCTAACCTAACTAACAAACTGCCGCACATGAGGTAACACATATCTTCGATCAAGAGCAAAGTCTGGTTATGGATCTCCTCATTCACCTCAAGATCGTAATTTCTTGAGCTGACGCGAATTCGATGTAAAATATCTTCGGACATGTTATCTTTGTATTTGTTCCACAGGTCAAGTGGGTTCGATGGGAAGCATGTTGATATGATGATAGCAAATAATGTGCGTATCTGACTTGGAGATGCAGAAATAATTGCTTCAGCGATTGTCGTGTCCCAATGAGTATCGTTTTCAAGCAAATTTAGCTCTTGACATGCTGCACGAAATGTGGGGCACACGATACTATTAACAGTTCGCAGTGATTCAAATGATGTTGGCCCTCGAACATGTACCAGCAACAACCGCAAATAGAAACATTCATCATTCTTCGGATAAACTGTGTAAATACGACCAAGAGCATCAGTAGAACGCATATCTGGATGACCAGGAACTGCATTCGACGCTGTGAAATATACTCTCTGACCGTTCTCTAGATGCACCCCCAAATGTAAAACAGTGGGATGACGTTCGTGAATAGGGAATGAAAATATACGCCAAATTGCTTTATTGCAGTTCACATATCTACCAACTTGATAGGGCGTGATTTCATCATTGGTATTGGATGTAACAAATAAATAAAACAAATATTAAATATGATTAAACAAATACAAATGAACAACAAATGAACAAATTTATTTATTTATTATTTTTTTTTTCTCTCTCTTTATATTTACAAATGAACAAATGAACTTTTTATACAAATTTCTGAACACCCACATGATGTCTTCAGAAAAAAATAAAGTTTTGGCTTTAAGGCCGCAACAAACAGGCCATAAGTTGTTTTCTGATGTATTCTGCTACTCGCGACGGAAACAAATCCAACAAATCAAAAACCATGGCAATCGGTCCAGCCGTTCTCGAGTTATAAGTGCTTTACAAAATACGACTTTCTTTTATATATATAGATAAACATAAACCCCCACATATGTACATACATATGCACAAAATAGTGGTTCTGGTTGGTGGCTTTCTTTTCTAGCACTTTCCCTTTTATGCACTTTGGTGACGCAGCAGCGGCAGATCTTCGTGAATAACTTCTCCATGGCTACAATATTCCGGGCTGGGTAAGTCTACCAAAAGCCATTTGAAAGTGAACGAAGTATACTAATCAAAATTTAAATGTCTCGATAAGTGAGCGGATAATCCAATCACAGACCATGCCAAGTTGCGTGACAAATGTGAAAGCTACGATGGGGAAATTCCTAAAGGCATTGACAATATCTTTAATCCAATAATAAGTAAATTCACCCACCACGTTTGAGTCAATATTTAGGTAATATTTTCCCATTTTCTTTGCTTTATCTGCGGCGCACTTCATTCCCTTCAAAACAACATACCTTTCGAGCTCTGCCTTTGCATCAAGCACAATCATATGTTTGTCTTTGTGGACTCATCCTTCATGTTTCATGTATGTTGTTTGTCTGCCTTTCCCTTTACTCTCTCGCTCTTTGGCGGTCTCTCTCCGGCGGTTTGAAGCCGGCTTTTCGAAATGCCTCGTCTGGCCTCGCCCTGCGTCTGCGAATCATCTTACCCGCCCCGCCCCTCACACAAACAAAAGATACTTCGCTGCGTTTTGTGTCTTTACGGAACACGCACAGCCGAGACAAAATCAATAAATGACAAAGCCACCACGCCTTTGGCTTGGCTCATGAAGTAACTATAAGGATGTCTCATCGGCAAAACTAAGAAATTCGTGCGAGTGAAAAGTGCGAGTGAAAGGGCTCTCGCTGTAAGTGTGAGGGCAACGACAATGGAGTGTGCTGATTAACCATTTGAAAGAAATGTGAAAAAAACAGTATAATTGTTTCATAATTTAATTTTTAATAGTTTGCTACATGATAGTAGTCTTTGTTTAAAAAAAATATTTTGAAAAAATTTGAAAACAAAATTTTGCCCGCAACCAACTTTCCGCGTCGACAAGCAAACGAGCACTGACATTAAGAAAAAGCGGCGAGTAATTCTGCCACCGACGAGACCTCCTTATAGTTACTTCATGGCTTGGCTGCTCCTCGTGGTGGAATTTCACCATGGCCTCGGCCATGTGGAGGCAGACGGTTTCAGTCTCTGCGGCATTTCCCAGCGTGCAAGCAGGAGCATTCGGCCTGCTTCCCAACTTACATTCCAACAAAAACAAAGAAAAGTAATATCAAACAGTTTATTAATGAAACGAAATAATATACTTGAGCAATATGAGCGAGAGATAGAATGGCTTTGTGCCTGAGAGATCAAGTAAACCAAATGAAAATGTTCAGCCCTTTTGGCTTGTGGATTAACTATTGTTAGTGTGTGGTGTTTTTGGTAATTGTTTAACCTAAATGCAGAAGCGATTATGAAATAAGCAAACAGTTTTCAGTGTTATTCTCCTGAAGGGGACCGAAAAGGTTGTTCTTCGGCTATGAGAAAAAACTACGCGTAGTAGTTGAACGCACTTTGGATTGCTGGGTGGGTTTTTCTTTTTGGGGAGAGTCTTCGTCTTCATCGCTGTCGTTTTCGCTGAAGGTAATGACTTAACCCCCCCACCCTTTGATGTGAAATCGACCAACCAAGACATCAAAGTCTGCCGACAAAGTCTGCGCAAAATTTCTCTTTTAAAACATTTTCCCTTTGTCGTTTGCGTGTTGCATTTTTCTTGGCAACACGCAAACACTTTGCAATTTTTGCATTTTTTTAAAAGCTTTTTTTAACTTGATTCGAGTTTTTCCTGACTAAACTTTCGGTTACGCTTGTTAGTGAGTGTATCCTTTGTAGCATGTCACCTACAACAATAGTTGTTGTAGCTGTGCCACTCGAGCTGGTCGGGGGTGTAACCAATAAGGAGGGCGCACCGCGCTGGCTCCGGCTGTATGATCGGTAGAAGGGGGGGTTCCGATAATTGCTTATTGTTACGTGCTCGCATTGATGCTATTTCTTATTCATTTTAATTTCGCGTGCAGACCTATGCTAGAACGTAGGGGAGGGAATGAGGGGGATAGGGAAAGGTGAAGTAACCGGAAGGGGAAAACTTAACCACCGAAATACATATCCACCATGATTGACGGCTGCGCTGGTCTTGTTGCGGCAGTCCTTGCCCACCCAACCATGATCATCCTATAAATTCCAAGAGATATAATAGTTTCGGATGATCCCTTTTTAGTCATGGTTATTCTATATTCCACAGTAGCATGGCTCCTTAATACAAAAATCTCTAGCAATTCGTTTTCAACAAATTAATGATAGGTTTATTATAAACAATGGAAGTTCATTCCTTATATATGGGTATGTATGTATATAAAGAGAAATATATAAAAAAAGTTGTTTTCTGTCAAATAAAGGGGCTACAAAATATATATCAATAAGTGAATAAGGTGAATAAGGAAATATTAATTGTAATAAGTTTAATAGTTAGATTCCTTTAATTGTATTCAAAATGTAAATTTTTAATTTAGTTCGATATGTTTTGGATTAATATGTAATTATTTTTAATTCATTCATTTCATTTTCATTTTTAATCCAACGGAAATTATGTTGGCTCTAATTAAATGCTCATAAGTGTAAAGTTCCATAGATAAAGCCAAGCTTTGAAGAAGCTCCGAAAGCTCGCAAGCTTTACGTTGGCCGAAATCGCAAGAACAAGAAAGACCGATCAAATATTTATTTAATGTGCATGGCAGTAAAGTCTCTAACAAGTTAAGATTAGCAATAAAATAGGTTCTTTCACTTACGTATTTGCTTTATGTCATCCATGTCCAAAAGATCTTTCGGCGATGGGAGAGCGAACCTGAAAGCTTTTAAGAGAGAGCACACACAATTGATCATACACACATAAACATATGATTTCCCTCCGTTTGTTTTAATTCTTTCTTTTTGGGGTTGGATTTAAAATTTAAATTAAATTAAATTAAAATTTAATTTAATGGAATAAGTAAATTTTACGTTAGTTTCTTAATGTTTTTGTCACTTGCGCTAAATATCACTACTTTTCTTTCTGTATTAATCAAATTCAAAACGAGGTCTGAATCCAGACATGGCAGCGATGACATGGGGACACAAGTATAAATTTGAAGAGCACGGCCTGTAGCCTCTACGGGTCAATGACCTCGCAAGTGCACATATGTTTTAAATGCACAGTGGGACATATAGAGTTTCGTATTTTGTTCTTCACTGTCACTATGCCGTTGATTTTAGTTGGTTTAGGGGAGCAACAAAAAAATGTTAAGCCAGCATGTGGTGGCACCGGTACATAGGCAGGTTATGTTGAACCGCACATAGAAATATTCCGTCAAGGCCTGGGTCAGAGATCGTCAGATAGTCACATCACTCAGCCCAACTCGCTAATTTCTGCTCTCATGCCTCTGTAGGCGGGGGATGATGGTCGAGGAGCTCGATCGCGGCTGTTCTGTCTTGGTGCTGTTGAGGCCGCTCTCGAACGAATTTCGGACACTGGGTCGCGCCTGTGCTAAAGCTGCTGGTGGGGGCCAGGGTGGTCTTCCAAAAATATGCCCTTCTATGGGCCCAGTGGACGCCGTAGGTATTTCTCCGGTGTTCCGTGGGTAATTTATTCGGAACTCATCCGGTAACTGGCAGCAACCTCTTCTGTCTTCTTTTTATGTTCGCTCCATATGGCCGTGGTCGCGACGTATATGTACGTCTGTACTCTTTGAATACCACGAGGAGAAGGCTCGCTCTACTTTTTCCGGAAATCAGCTCTTCCCAGCCTAATTTTCGGTCCCTCTTCTGTTTGTCAGAACTACAGTGGGAAACAAACAGCAATTGGGACTGTGAGTCAGAGCGAAATTCGATAAAAATATTTGTTGCCCACTGTGGTGAATTGCATCCACCAGAGGGCGTGCGAAAGCTCAGCTTGCACCAGAATTTGACTACTAGAAGTACTGGTGTTGTATAGTTTCAGGCTGAACTTTAACTTGACAGTTTTTTTTTTTTTTTTGAGCTATGAACAAGCGCACTACACCTTTTGACCCATTTTGTGGACTAATTTTCGCGGAAAATGTTTATTCTCAGGCACAAATTGTAACACATTCAATTGAAAAGCGTCAAACCGAAAACAAATTTAACATCCATCTCACAGCCAAAAAGTACACAAAAATTGAGTCAAAACAAATCAGCGAAATAGTTTTTGGCACAACAGGATGAGCCAAAGTTTTGATAGTTCACATGGAAGTGGAAGTGTAGGACCTAGGTTAGGTTATCCAGAGCGTCAGTCCTCGGAGGATGTGCCCGAGTCTACAGCCACAGCAACGACGGAAACAGGAACAGCAACAACAACAGCCGGAGATGGACAACAAGGAGCGGGTGTCGGAGCTGGAGGTGAGGATAATATTACCGATGACAATTTCGAATCGAATTTGCGGCGTCGCAAAGGCAAAATAATATCCTGTGCCAAAGAGACCATTGAGAATGGTGAGTAGTGCCAAAGACAAGGAGACAACAAATATTTACTTTTTTAAATATCTACTATATACATATGTATGTATGTATGTAATTACATATGTACTCTACAATATACATATATGTATCTATTTGGACATGCTTGGCATGTGTAAGCAGATGAACATTTGAGTGGCAAGTGCTTTCCTACAACTTTCTAATAACTTTAATTTTCTAATAACTGTCATCTACATCTACAACAACTCGCCCCCCCTTCCCTACACCCACATACTGCAGACTCGCTACAGAGGCAAAGGCCGCTGACTACACGAAGCTGAGTGTGAAAGAGAATGTGAAAAAAACAACAAAAGCTGCGGGAAAGGGTGGGTTTAGCCACTGCAAATTTATTTCTTCATTTTGGCTATAATAATGATCCAATCGGATACCAATTTGGAGATCTGATAGTTATGGTCATTCCCTACGGAATTGCGTTTTTAGTTTTCTTTTATCTTCAAAATTGTAGGTTTGGGAGGTTTTCGCTCTTTTGCGGGGCGGAAGCGGGCGTGGCTCATTTTTTAAATACACTTGTAACAGTGTTAGCATACAGAATGGATGCAAAATTTGGTTGCTCTAGCTCTTGTAGTCTCTGAGTACTAGCCGCTCATCAGGACGGACAGACGGACGGACAGACAGGCGGACAGACAGAAATGGCTCAGTCGACTCGGCTATTGATGCTGATCAAGAATATGTGTACTTTATGGGGTCGGAAACGTTTCCTTCTGTATGTTACATACTTTGTGCACAAATATAAAAAGTGGGTCGTCGCTCCCTTTCACATCTTCACAGATCACTCTGGATGCCTAAAACGGTGTAGCAAATGCGCTGGCAGTCATCAGCTCCTCTGGTGGCGGGACGAACTGCACTCAAGTGCAAAGGTAGAACACATGCTCTGGATCCTCGCGCATTGAATCACTTGGGACACTCGGGAGAGCGCTCGTGTTTGAACAGTCAGGAATTGGGTGAGAAGGTAGATCCCCTCTACTTCGTGAGGACACGAATAGCGAAGAGGCTGTAGGGCACTGTAAGCTTCCTTCGGAGACCATGGAAAGGACTGACTCTTGCCAAGAGTAGCCGTCGTCCTGCTTTGGGACCGCCAATGTTGAGGAGGGCTCCACAGGGCTGCCTGCGTCCTAGAGTCCATTTGGACTCCATGGTTGGATAACCATTCGGTTATCTAACATCACGCCTAGATACCTGATTAAGTCCTGTGACCTGATAGTCGCGTCACCCACCTGAATTATCACGTGCTCCACCTCCATCCGGCTCGTAATGAGAACTGCCTCACGTTTATGGCCGGCCAACTCCAGTGATGCGCTTTCCATCCAGTTGTCAACGGTCCGGACTGCCACGTTGGTCGTCTCCTCTATTTCCTGGAGCTTCTTGGCCACCACGATCAGGGCTATCTCTGCGGAGGCTAGATCCTCAGGACTTCGTCGTACATTATACTCCATAAAAGATATCCTAAAACAGACCCCTGTGGAACTTCGGCTGTCATACTGTAGAGCTTCGGTCCCTCCTCAGTCTCGTACCACAGTACCGACAGATATTTATCGACTATACGTAGCAGATGGGTTGGATTCCGGTTCTCGCAATCGTCTCCTTGATCAGACTCCAGCTCGCAGAGCTGAATGCGTTCCGGATGTCCAGGGTCAGTCGGCTATGTAGAATAATCTCCAGGACTTTGCCGACGGTATCCAGCAGGCATATTGGCCTGTATGAGGACGGTTCCTACGGCGGCTTGTCTTCTCTCTGCAGAAGGTCTAGGAGCTGCCCCTTCCACTGCTTGGGAAAGACTCCTTCCCGAAGGCAACTATTATAGACATCTACCAACAGCCCTGGCCTAGTGGCTTCGCCAAGCTTTAGCGCCTTGTTGGGGATCCGGTCTGGTCCTGTGGCCTTTTTGTCTCCGACTTTCCTTATGGCTGCTCCCACCTCCCCCATAGAGATCGGGGTCCACATTTCAAGGTCTTCTCGCGTGACGCTCACCTCTTGTAGTGGGTGCTGTAGAAATAGCGCCTCCACGCCTGCGACGAACCAGCCTCGGGCACGTCACATCTAACACTGCCTGACGTCTGATCTTAGTACCGACCTTGTATGCCCCCTAGGTTTGAATTCCGCTTTCTCGCATATTTGCCTATTCTCTTTACGGCTCGCTTTGATGGTCGGAGATCCTCTCCCGCGGAATCGAACTCTGACCGACCCCTCGCTCTCTTGTAGCACTTCCTTGACCGTAGGCATGTTTTTCGCAGTTTGGAAATCTCCTCATTCCACTAGTAGCAGGGTGACCCTCGTCTCCTCGGCTTCCTTCTTGGCAGTGCCGCGTCACACGTTTCCTCTAGGTGTTTTCCAAGTTTCACAGCCAGGCTGTCTGCCGTTTCGCAAGTCGAGCCCCAATTGGCTTCGAGAAGAGAACCCTTGAACGTCCTTACATTTAGTCTCGGTGCTCTTGGCTTGCCCTCTCCTTTGGTTCTCTCCGCAAGCGAAATGGATCCTAAACGTAAACTTCTCGCTTACTCTCCACTTCGCCTATCGACAGAGTGAGCTGCTTATGAATGTAAGATCGATGATCGACCCAAGCATATCTCCTGAAGGGGGCTAATACCGCTTGAAGCAAGCCATGGCTTGTTAGGAGTTGACCCAGCCTTCTCTGCAGCCATGTGCTAAGCTGGGGTATGAGTCGTCTGGTCCACATAACCTTTCCCGCTTGGTTCCATCGCCTTTGCCCTCTTGCCGCTCGCCGGTTACCGCTTTGGCGGTCCATATATTTCATAAAAAGTTGGTCTGGATCGAAGCGGCAAAATCGAGTCGAGTAGTGTTATCGAATTGGAAGTGGATAGGATCATTATTATGCAGATTTTGCCGCTTCGATCCAGACCAACTTTTTATGAAATATATGGACCGCCAAAGCAGTAGCCAGCGAGCGGTAAGAGGGCTGCATAGCAATGGGGCAAAGGCGCTAGTTAGAATGAAGAATGAAGAAGAATTTAATTTGCAATGGCCAACCCCACAACGTCCAGTAGCTTTGCTTATGCTTGCTTCTTGTTGCTCATTCTTTCCCGCTCGCACACTCTGCCTCATGCAGTATGTGTTTTGGGTGTCGAGCTAAAAAAGCGTGTTGGCGGGAGAAGTGATGTAGATGTAGATTTCAGATAAAGAAAAAGTTTTAAATGTTGAATTCGAAAAAAGCACTAAGTTAAAGATATGATGACTAAGTACCGGGATGTGACGCGTTTGAAGCACAAACATTCCTGCTCGTTTTGCGTTTGCGTCATGCCACCGACTGACCTAGAACACAGGTAGCTAGAAATCCATCTCAACAGATTGGGCGGATTTCGTCCTCTTTGTGATGTGGTTCATGTGGGAAAAATCTATTTCTGTGCTTTTGAAATATTGTGGAATGTTATTTAATATTTACCTCGCTGGTACATATTCTAGGTATACATTCAACCATTTTATTTAGGCAGCGATATTAAAGAACTAGTTTCCTAGTTTATGACTCGTTATCAGTTTTCCCATTGCTTCTTTTTAGGCTCTTTATGGATTTGGCCGATTTGTTCTTCATTAGTTTTTTTCTGGCTTAGATTTCCCTTTTGAGCTCTTTTAAAGCTGAGTATCATTCTTGAGGATGCACGTTAATGCACGCTTGTGTACATATTTGTTTTCGCATTTGGATTTCTTTAGAAACTTGAAACCCTTTTCAAATGTATTTCTACCTCGCTTGGGCACAGACCTTCTAGCATTCACTTTTCCTGCCTTCAGGCTGTTTGGGCTACGCTTGCAATTTCATTACAGGAAGATTTTGTGGTAAAAGCAGACCAGACCCATTGATCTTGAGGCACAACATATTTCACTTGGCTGCTGAGAGACTCACTTTCTTGTGTGTATGTAGAAACGCAATCTAAACCATGTAATATTTACATAGCCGACTTCTTCGTTGTTTTTCTGTGTGTTTTTATATCTTTATATTACAGCCTTTGTCTAAAAAAAGCTTTTGGCACAGCGTGTGCCAATTATGGAACACAAAAAAGACATACAAAAAGTGGATGGAAGAGCTTTGTTTGTGTCATTCTTGCAGTTTGTACTTGCAATTTTAACGAGATGTTAAAATGAGAATGCACTTGAATTTTGCGAGAAATTAGGGAAAGGCGACACAGAACCTGCGAACAGACCCCCAATGGAGATTAAGCCCATGCTGGGGCGTGCCTCATTATATAGCCATTAGTTTCTCGGCTGCACTTTGGCTTAGCTTCAACGGCAAACTGATTTTGTAAATTAGAAGATTTTAATGGCCATTTCATTGTTTGTGCTGCCGCTTGCTGTGCTGCATTCTTTATGGCGCATTTATGGTTAAGTGCGCATCCGTTTGCCTTTGAGGGGAAAAAAAACAAAAAAATTAAACAGAGAAAAGAAAAACATGAAGAAAACGGATTGCCAACCATAACAAATATGCGTGCTTTTTATACCCGGTACTCAAAGAGTAAATAGGGTATATTGTATTTGTGCGAATACCGGTTGTATGTAACGCACAGAAGGAAGCGTTTCCGACCCCATACAGTATATATATAGCCGAGCCGACAAACAAGACGGACAGACGGACAGACAGACATGGCTCTATCGACTCAGCTATTGATGCTGATCAAGAATATATATAGACTTTATGGGGTCGGAAACGTTTCCTTCTGTGTCCTTCTTCACAAATACAATATACCCTATTTACCGAGTACCGGGTATAAAAAGTTCTGCCAAAGAAAATAAAACCGTCCGTCTTTCCGTCTTGTTTGTCGGCTAGTTCTCAGAGACCATAAGAGCTCACACTGAAACCAGTGTATTTCAAAAATTATCCCCGCCCCCTTCCTTCCCGGCAAAAGGGCGAAACAAAGTGGTTTTAATTTGTAAGATAATGCTGTAGCTCTAAGATTCTACTATGAATTTCATAGTATAGTATAGTAATTGTATATGGTATAGTATAGGGA